AACTAGGCACTGCTTCCCAGCCTTCTGTCACTTGTTTTCACAATTACTGTCTGAAGTTGGGGTGGGTGCCTGTCGCTCAGCTCCTTGCCCAATTGCTAGACTGCCTGGGAAGGCCTGTGCTTGACAGTCGTGTCCACAGCTGGTGCAGCTCCTGTCCTTCCATCTGGAATTCAACCAGGTGTGCAGGACTTGGGTCATGGAAGCTAAGCCTGTTGGGTTTAATTCTCTTCTCTGCCGCTGATTTGCTTTGTGTGATCATGGGCAAGTCCTTTAACCTCAGATGGCCTCCACTGGGTTATCTACTTCAGAAAGGTGTTGTAATGCTTAATTATTGCCAGCTCTTCAGAAACCCCTGGTGGCAAAAAAATGCATTTTATTCAGAAATATCGCTGACCTCCCTGGCCTTTCTAAGCCACCTTGGTGGTGCTAGGAGATATTATTTTTCCAACCTCAATAATGTTTCTTCAATTTTTCATCTGTACATTCACCCACTCTCTCAGCTGCATGTAAAAATGCCAAGCTGTCTGAAGCCATGGAAATATTTTTATAAACTTGACAGCCACGGCAAACATTCCTCCTTGGCAATAAACAAACAAGGTACACAACCTGCCATTAACATCAATTTATAGCAGAGAGACCTTCGTCACTCATTGATGAGGGAATCCTAGATAATTCTTCTGCTAGCAAGCCATAAAAAATAGTGTTGTCTGAGATTAGGAAAATGCTGGATCCTTTGGGTTCCTGTGTGCAGGGAGTAACTGGAAAGCTCTGTTTGCCCAAGTGCATGTGGGAGTTCAAGCAGGCACCAGGTATTTGGTTTATTCAAGGCTCTTACAAACTATGTTTGGCTCGGGTGTACGTGTGCTTGGGGGCTTGGTGTTTATTTGTAGGCACAAAAAGCCTGTTTTCCATAGTGGCACCTGAAACACAAAGGTGGTATAAATTAAACTGGATAAATTTTAGACATCTAAAAAAAAAAGCTGCAAACAAAAGACATCAGTCAGCATTGCAGGAGCAGAGCCCTTGTCATGCAGCCTCCCGTGCACCCTCCTTCCATTTTCCTTGCAGCTGGCTGTGGGCTGGGAGGGTTGGCAAGCACCTGAACCCACACTGGAACATCTCCCTGTGGGCAGCACCCCACGTGAGCACTCAGACAATGCTCATTTTGGTGTGTTCTAGGTTAATTTACCCTGAATACATCTAAACACAGAGACGTCTTCAGAGACCTTGGTGGTGCTGGCCAAAAAAAAAGCAGGTACCCCTCTTTTTCTCTCATTACTTTGGGTTATCTCTTACTTTTCCATCAGGCTCTCTTTCTGCCATCTTTGAGTAGTGGATTCTCTGTGGTATGCTCAGGAGAAGAAAGTCTAGCCTGTTCTTCACCTGTGTCTTTGATGGAAGACTCAAAGTAGGGAGCCAAGCTTCTTTCCACCACCTCACTCATTCACTGCCTCTCTGTCTCTGTGCCGTAGTTCCTCCCTTCTTCAAATGGGGATGACAAGTCTTCTCTCTGCTTCCACAAAACCTTTGAAAACTAAGGAGAAAAACATGCAGGGCATTTGTCTTCCCTCTCCAGGAAATCATAAATCCCTCCCCTCTCCCCTCACCCCTCTCCCTTCTCCTCTCTACCTTTTTTCCTCTCTCCTCTCCTCTTCTCTCCTCTCTCCCCTTTTCCTCTCATTTTAAGAGTTGTTATTATTATATTCTGTCCCTTTAGGTCTCCTCTACTTCCACCGCTCTTGCAATCTGTCTCTCTCTGCTGTTTCCATATCCCCTTCTATTTGCAGCTCTCTTCCTTCTGTTCATGTCATTTTCTTCTCTCACCCTGTATCTCCTACCCTCCCCCACTATTCATGCGCCGCGCACTCCTATCGCTTCCCTCTGGTTTATCCTCCAAATTCCTCCCTTATGTGTGTCTCCACCACGGACCCCTTTTTGTTGCTGCTGGCTGTGTGTCCCTAGGAGCTGCTGGCCAGGCCTGAGGGAGAAGGGCAGGGTGTGGGATCAGCTGGACAGCCCCTGCGGGGTGGGGGTTGCCCTCTGAGGAGCAAGGTGGGGCTCCCTCCTTGTGTGTGCTGCTGGCTCTGGATGGAGCTGCCTTGAGTCCTGTTCTGAGCTGCAGCACGGATGTCACTTTAATGTCTGAGCACTTTGTTTCTGCCTGGAAGCTTGATGAGGTCTGTTGTCTCCTGATGTCACCTTACCTCCTTGAACGTGACCTTGTGACTTTCTCTGGTCCCATTGTCCTATTCCCATTCCCCTTACGTCCCCCTGACTCCAGACACTCTGTTCTGAACACATGGGTTGTGTTGTGCCTGGCTGCCTGTTGACAGCTCTGGTTGTTGAGAGGATGACTGTCCCATGTGTCACTTGCAGCTGAATTCAGGACCCTAAGCTCTGCCAGGGAAAGCCATGATGGAGGAGGGAGAGGCTGAGCACCAGAGGTCTGGGAAGCCCTGTGCATCCTGATGGGAGAGTTGCACTGAGCCCACAGGCCAGTGCCCAGCAGGTCAAGACAACTGTGCTGTTTTCCTGGGAGACCTGTGCTTAGTGTCCTGCTGTTGTGACAGGACAGGAACCACAGGGTCACTGCCTTTGGGAGAACCCCTCTCCCATCTGCCTGAGAGAGCCACCTGATCCCAGCAGGAGGCTATCCCACTATCTCCTGTGGGATAGAGTTTCCTCCAAGTCAGCCAGGGTGGTTGTGGTGTATTTAGCCACCTCTCTTCAGGGACAGGATTTTGGCTGCAAGGATCAAGCCCAGTGCCAGCATGGTGGGTTCTTTATGTCCCTTCATGGACACTATTTTCTTCACACATAGGGAACATATGACAAGGAGAAGTCCCTTTCTCAGGGCAGGGAGAGGTGGCTGCATCTAGGCTAATGGGAGAGAAAGCCAAATCAGGGCTCATGAGATGTTCCTGACAGCAAGGCACAGAGAGGTCAAGGAGATGGCCACGTGCTGAACTTCATCCAGTGTCCTACAGAACAGGGCATGGTGACTTTTGGGCTCCAGTGGAGTTTAGCTCTACTCCTGGGTAGCACATTCCCCCTGCCAGGTGTCACTCAGTCCCAGACTGAATAATGTCATGAGCCTCAGTTCCCCTGGCCAGACAGTTCCTGATTTCTCCCTTCTGTCTCTGCAACACTCAACCCTTCCTTAGCATGCTGGATGATCTCCCTTGTGCTGCATGTGAGGTGCTGTGCACCTTTTCCCGTTTTTCCCACAGCAGTTTTTCTCCCTCTCCATACCTGCTTCACCTGTTTTACCTGCTTTCTCCCTCCTGCTCTGCCTCTGGGCTAGGTCTCTCTCCAGACTCTGTCTAAAACCCTCTGCCTCATTTGCCTTTCCATCTGGCTTCCTTGTCTCCCTGGTCATGCCCTGAGCTGTCAGAAGCCAGGGGAGGAGGATCATTGCAAGAGCAGGGCACAGACAGGAGGCTGTGAGGAAGAGCAGAGCAGGAAGGCAGATTGCTAAATCAAGCTCCATCATTTGCTGGTCTCTGGCCTCTCCCAGGTATGTGCTCTTAGCCACACAGAAGAAGTCCCCTTTTCCCAGAAGTGTGATTTTCCCATTGCTTCTACTTCACTATTGGCAAGCTCCTGAAAGGTTAATGAAGTCATTCACTGCAAAAGGAAAAAGCACATCTTCCCATGTTTTGCATAAATTAATCTTGGAGATTATGGAGCACAGGGCACAGGATATTCAGCTATGTCCTTGAATCTTGTCACCCAAAGTGCAGCTCTGGGAGTATCACGTAGGTGATACTGTGCACTCCAGTCCTTGATATCAGCTGAGGCTAAAATGTAGGTAAAAAGCTGTGGCCTCCTCAGTCATCTTTATTCATGTTTCATTGTGTGTAACAGAGACTGGGGAGGAGGTACCCAGGAATGCCCACAAGCCCTTCCTCCCATTGCGGTGGATCCTTGTTTCCCACAGATCCTCTTTAGAAAATGCCCTGTATCAGGTTTCATTCCCCCTGGATTTTTTTTTCTGCCTGAGAAGTATGCAGAAAATCATTCAATTGGTTTTGAACCACATGAGTGGGAGCAGGAACCAACCCCAGAAGATAAGTGTTCTGACCTTTACTGCACTCAGATAACTGAAAATAATAACAAATAAATGCATCTTGTTTCTAAACCTCAGACTTAGGTATGTGTCCCTGCCTTACTCAATGGGAGCCTGAGCTCCTGGGAGGGCTGAGGTTATGAACCTAGGAGCTGCCTGCAGTAAGCAGCATCCCCTTTGCTTTCCTTTTGTAAAAGGAGCTGGAACCAGTCCAGAAATTCAGGATGTGAGGGGACAGGGCCAAGATCCCCACACCCCTGCCATCTTGCTGCTGGGACCCTGCATGTTTTCCCATGGCTAGAGTGCTGGGAGAATGAGAATTTGTTTATTTCTTGCCTGTGTGTGTTTCTTTGTGCTTTTTGCCTCTTGTTTTCAAATATAGGGCTGACCATTTAGGGCCATGCAGGGCTGGCTACCAACTCTGCATGTATGCAGACCCTGGATAAGACGATGGGATTTGCTCAGAAAAAAAAGTGCTAAAACCTCCAAATCAGTGAGTGTTTGAAAAAAAAAAAAAAAAAGGGAACCTGTCTAGAAGGAGGACATGCTGAACTGTTCCTTGCAGCGAGCTCCCCAGGTCTGGGTCTTAGGTCACTGACTCAGACTTCCATCATCTCTGCAGATGCCCCTGGGGAGGTCCATCTGAGACAGCCTCTCTCTGCAGGCTGCTGGTGACAGTAAATATTTGTACACTGCATGCTGAAGTGCTGATATGGGGCTGGAGTCCCATTGTGCAGTGTGCTGTCCAGACCCTGGAAAGAGACTGTGCCTGTCCTGAAGGATTTACTGCAATCCCAAATGAGAGCTGGAAAATAGGCTTTTTGTGTCTACAGACAGGCACCAAGCACCAAATTCATGGTGCTTTCTGTCGTGGCTGTGCCTTGATGTTCTTTCTGTAGGATGTTGCTTCCCTTCCCTCCTCTGTGTCCTGGGGAGATTGTTTGCTTGGTTTCTGCCATCCAAACCACCAGTGACTGTAGAGATGCCTGTATGCAGACCTTGGGGAGGATGTTGGAAGCTTTCTGGCACTCTGTCAGTGTAAAGCACCTTATTTATTAGAGTCTAATGCCCGTCTGGGATGTACTTCTGATCTAAAGCTCCTGAATTCCTCCCTTTTAACGCTGAAGAAGCCGTTCAGAGGCCCCCTGGGCCCAATGTGTGCTTCTGCTGAAGACTGCCCTGATCATATATCTACCACTGTCTTGCCCAGACTTCGGGTTCAGTGATTTTGTTTTCATTAGAAGATCTCCTCCAACTCACCTCTTCCTTCAGGGGTTCCAGCAGATACCCAAACAAATATGATATTCAGCTACTGCAGTGTATGGAAATGTGCATTTTCAGCATGCAACCTGAGACGTGCCTGGATGTTTGCATTTGTGTTGTGTGGACGCTTGCATTCATGTCTGCCAGTGTGTTTGGGCTGGAAGAGGCAGCAGCAAAGCCTCTGGCAGCTGGGAAGAAAGGAATGACAGGCTTGCTAGGGGAGGGAGGAGAGAGTTTGGTAGCTGAGATGAGGATTGGGTAACAACTGGAGGGGGAGATCAGATTTAGGATCCATGTTGCTCACTTAAGAGAATAGGAGAAGAAGCAGTACATTGTTTATTGGGGATTGTGTTATTCCTGTGCATTATTTATTAGACTTCTGCTAATGGTACTGCATAAAGAAGTGGCACTTCTACAGAAATTTCACAGACAGCTGGAGGATCAGTTCCAGGAGGTATTGTAACCAGGTCAGGTTGGTGTAGGGAATCCTGCTGGGCTCGGTTTTGACAGGCTTTGGAAAAGAGAAGATTGTTCAGGAGGCATTTGGAGGGGAGAAAGGGGGGGGTTGTCTGTGACTCACCAGGGAACAATGATTGCTGTGAGGATAAAGGGGCAGGCTGGAAGAAGACCTGGAGACAATGGTGAATTCCTGGGTTCAGCAGCTTCAGGATTCCAGCCTGAGGTACAAGAAAGCGTGAGAAAATGATGTGTTTAGGAGGAAGCTTTAGGAGTAATAAAGGCAGCTGGTGAGAGAAAGCCAGAAGTGAAGAGGAAGCAATGCTGCACCTTGAAGTGGGTCCTTTAAGGCTTGATTTTGAGGCAGGAGTTGGAAAATGGGTGTGCAGTGACTGTAACTGAACCCTTCCTGAGTTACCTGTAGTGTCTGTGAGCACAGACCTGCTGGTTTGCAGCCTCTGCAGAGGTGTTGAGGTACCCAGGTGTAGTGAGAGTCCTATGGATTGGATAAGTGGGTCCCAGCTATTCTAAATGAGCCACAGCTGCGAAGTCCTTAGTTGGGCAGCAGCTGTGGCTCGTAAAGGTAACTGGGATAAAAGGGGTGGGCTGAGAGCCCTGGAGGAGCTCCTGTGAAGCCACGAGGAGCTGTGCTGCAGAGAAGAACTGCATGGTAGATAACCAGCTAGAAGGTATGGACTTTAAGAATATAATAACAACAGTATGGGACTCTAGAAATATGAAAATAACAACACCCAGGGACAGGAGACCAGGTAGGTTTGTGAAGTTCATAGTGCAGACAGATGGGTGCCCCCAGCCAGCCCTTGGATACTGGTCTTCTCTTTCATTTGCAAGATGTCTGGTCACTTAGGTGGGACTGCTGTTCTGGTAGGTGGCATTCTTCTTTCTCTCAGCCATGAATCTGAAATCAGCCAATACTGGAGGAGGAAATCATGCCATTGGTGCGAATTGTCTTTGGGTGAGAAGCTAACTCATAGTCACCAAAATAACCAGAAAAAATGTAAAGGTTTTATTTTTAAGGTTTGTTTTACCCCACCACGTTCAACCATTGGGCGGGGAACACCCTCCTTGCTGCTTGTGACTTGTTTCCATGAGCCAGGAGCGGGTCTAAATGGAAGTTGCCTTGGTGACACTTCAACCTGAGAATCTCGGTGCTGAGCTGGTGCAGAATTTTGGGGCTGGAGGGGAGGAGGAGAAACTGCAACATAAACACAGCTTCATGGGATGTCCTTTATTTTTCTGACTGCAGTATGAAGCCTACTTTGGTGGATGGAGTCACACTGTGGACATGGGAAGTCTTGTAGCACAAACAGTAACTCCGTTAGCCAGAATCAGCCCCTGCCCTCAGCCATCATGTGCAGCACAGCTGAGCTACCATTACTGAGTGGTATTTTATTTCTTTTTAACCAGGATTGATGCAAATGATTCAACAAGTACCTGCGACTGTTGATGTGTTTAAGAGTTGTTTTGGGTTTTATTTTTCAGTTATTGTTTTAAAACTGCACTACACCCTGCAGCAAACCTCCTTGTTGTGTGCAGCTATCCTGGGAGTGTGGGTAGTGCTAAGTGCACTGAGGACTGTAACAATAACTCTGTGAGAGTGGCCTGGAGGTTTGGAATTAACCAGGCCATGATGGGACATGATTCTGTTAATCCACTGTGTCGTTTAGAATAGAAGGTGACTTGGGCCAACCTGCTGAAATGCCTTCAGAGTGTTTCTCCACCTTGGGAGAATGTGTGATCATCTGAGATCTGGGACTTGAGTTCTAGCAGGGATTATCCATTGGGAAAGGACAGTCCATTTTGAAAGTGAAGTGCTGATGGGTCCAGGAATGATAAAATCACTCTTGGACTTTTTTTGTGCGTGTGTGAACTCCTAGAAGTCATCTATGTTGGTATAAATGAGATCATTTGGCCTAATTAGTTCCAAGCTTAATTAGCAGTAATTATCCCAACATGGGAGTAATACTCGAGTAGGAAGTACTGAGTCCTCGATTAGATAGATCTCTAATTGGTGTTACAATATTGTAATTAAAGCATGCTTGTACGCCTCTGCCTCTGCTAGTGATTTGTTTTATGTCTGATTAAGCAGGGAGTCCGGCAGCCTCAAGGAGGCCAGGACATCACCACTGATTGAAACACTGTATTATTCTTTGTTATAGGAAAGAAATGATGAATCACATGTACTAGGAAACACTGTGGGCCAAATTAGTCCTTTGAGTAATTGCTACTGGAGTTAGGGAAATTACAACAGGGGTAAATTTGGCCTCAAGTGTATCAGCTCTATCTGTGTATCACACAGTTAAACAAATACTCATTTGAATGTGCAGTCTGGCAATTACACCATCAGACAAATGCAAGTGAGTTAATCTGCATTTGCGATCGCTGGATTGCAGGGGTGAGTTTGGCTGCTGGGTGATGGTTATTAGGTTGCACATTCTGCTCAGATTTTGTGGGAGGTGGTGCTGTACATCCCAGGGTGCAGCTGGCACAGTTTCAGATGGCCTCTGCTGGCTGCAGTGTCCTCTCCTTGGTGAGGTGGGACCTGGAAGGTACTGCTAGGGCCACCAGGAGCACCTGGCAGCTGGAGGAGATGGACAGACAAAGAGTCTGGCTGGTCTGACCTTCCCTAGCAGAGGACCCTTCAGAAAATCAGGTAAACATGTTTTTTGAAGAAGTTTAAAATGAAGAGAGTGATAATGGGAACTTTCTGAAATTAGTCAGCATCAAAACACGAAAGCTTCCTATGTCTTTTTAAGAAACCACCTCCTTAGGAGTTGGCAAGTGTGCTGCTTTATTACTTATCTGTTCGCTACATGAGTGGGCGACTGTACTTCCTGATTTGGTTCTCCAACATAGAGAGATCATCAGCATAGGTCTGTAGAGGACAGTAACTCCTCGCCTACAGAAAGTAACAAATAGGAATGCATGTATCCTCTGGCTGTCACAAAGGATTTCTAAGCACAGTCGAGTCACATCCGAAGTAACACGTCATCTTGTTTCCATTCTACAGCTGCAGAAACTGAGGCACAGATCACTTCTCTTGCTGCAGCTCATGGAGCTGCTGTATGTGGCAGTGCAGGTCTCATCACCTCCTGCTTCACCCACAAAAACATCTTTCTTTTCCAGGAGGGAGAGTCCTCCCTGAAGGAAGGAGATGACTTGAGCAAATAGAGTACACAGAATTCTGTTAAAGCAATATTAGGGATAAGAATTTAAACACCCCATGCATGGGAATTCAAAGCAAGGGTTTCCATAGCAGCGTTGCTTGGCCATATTGTATATACACTGTTTTGCATTGTGCTGGTGATGTCAAAGGCATATTCTAATATCTGTGTGTGCAATATGTCTGAATCAGAGTTGCTATGAAACTTAAGGGAGAATTACACCATGGAGGCATATTCTTGTGTGGTGTTGGGAGGAAATAACAGAACTAGGTTTTGCTGGGATTTTTCTCCAGAGATAATTTTTCTTAGAAAATTGCTGATTTGCCAGAATTGTTGCTATTTTCAGGAAAAGTTGACTCCAGTTTTGTGTTTCATTGTGGAAAAAAAAATGGAGAAAAATTTTAAAGCTGTCAAAGCGAAACGTTTCAAGAAGGTAAAATGAAACCTTGCATTTAATTCATTTAGTCAGTTTCTAGGTAGAAATTTGGAATACTACTTTTTCATGGTTTTTTTTTAATCTTATCAGATGTAGAACAGTTATTTGAAATTGCTGAAAATCTGGATGGAATAAAAAGCTTGTTCCTTCTCACCACATAGTCTTAAACTGTCCTGGGAGTGGCAGGTGGCAAGGGAGTGACTGCATCACCCAGCACCATGTGTGCCTGCCCGGCTGTGTGTTGCAATGGGAGCTCTGGGAGAGGTTTCCCACTGAATACCTCTCTAACTACCTGGTAAAGGCACGTAGTGAAAAATGCCTGCTCCAAAAACCGCTCAAATCTTTGACAAAGCTCAGCTGTCTCTAAAAACCGCGGCCTCACCTGGATATCATAAGGTTGAGCCTCTGGACCGGGAGTGTTTTGGGTGGGAGCCACTGTTTGTCACGTCGTTAAACCTGGATTCAGCAGATGGTGGGATCTCTGAGGGGGAGCTGCCTCCTCTCCCTGCCCCACACTGGGGATCCCGAGGCCTCTTCTCACCTCCCTATGCATGGGCAAAGAGAGGGCCTCCCCAGTGTCACTGCAGCTCTTCTCTGTGCTCACCCCTCTGTGCCCTTCGCTTCCAGCACCTCATCCATGCTCTGAAGTTCTCCTGGGTAGCAGGAGGGATGGTGCACCCTGGGCTGGGAAAGAGTGCTTGCACTCATGGAAAAGCCCTGTGAGTTATTTTGGCATCAGTCTTCCTGCTGGCAGCAATGTTTCTTCACTGCCAGCATTCCCAAATGTTGGTGTAGCCTGTATGCCAACGTCTCCTTTCTCCCTGCCCCCTCATGTTGCAATTGCTAATTTCTGTGCCTGTGCCTGAAGAGCTGTAGTTTAGACTTGCTTTCCCATGCATTGAAGCCATTCTTGTTTAGGGAAGAAACTGTAAAAGGGGTGTGGGAGAGAGGAAAAAAAGAAGAGAGCTGGGGTATTTTTTCCCCTATGTGGCAGTGACGAATGCTGGGTATTAGAGAGACAAGCTGACAAACATCTGAATGAGTGGAAGAGACTTCTAACCCAAAGGGAGGAGTTGTGGTTTAGGTTAAAGCCACAAAGGAAGTGAAGGAGGTTACCACTTTCCTGTCTGTGGGCAGGAGGTTCTCCTTGTGCTCGTTTGAAGGCTTAGCTGTAGCTCATTCTTCCCTAGGAACATGCTCATCTGTGTACTTCTTGAAAGGCATTCGAGCTGGCATCTGATCTTGGGAGTGACAAACATCCCCTTTATACTCAGAAATCAGCAGGAGCTGGGAGCTAAAGATCTGGGAATCACAGTCTAATTTATGGAGCCAGATATTCTAAAACGTCTTGTTAGACCATGTGTCTTGGTTGGTGCTAGTTCATGTAGTGTTTTTCTATGTGCTTCTTCCTCTTGCTGATTCCACTTGGATTTTTTGTTGTAAATATCTGTGTGTTCCTCTGGGGCTTGTTGGCTCCCCACAGGCCTCACTTCTCTCATGTTCCTGAATGATTGGCAAATTGTGTCTCCATCCTGCCTGGATCCAGCAGTCTAGCATGCTGATACAGGACAGATTCTGAATGTCATTGGGTTCCTACCAGCATGGCCTGTGATCAGGATTTTCCTTGATTTTCTGTGCTTGCTTTTCTTTTAACGGTGCAGAGGCTTTAGCTGTATGCGGTTGCAGAGTTTGTTGTCTCAGCTCTGCAGCTTCACTCTTCATCTGAGAGAAGAGGGTGAGTGGTTAACCCTGGTGTGCTGCAGAAGGCATGCCAGGAGGGAGATGAAAGAATCCAGGATTGCTCTTACAAGAGCATGAGCCTTCTCCTGAGTCAGAGGAGCATGGGCACGTGAGCTGGCTATCTTAATCCCAGCTATCAACTGGTGACTGCACACTTAGAGCCACTGTCAGTGACAGTGACTTCAGTGTGTGGTGCCACTGCCTTCTGATTACAGTGCACGGCTGTACATGAAAAGAGCATCTGAAAGGTGCTCCCTGAAGGGCCGTTTTGTGAGCTCTAACCTTCCATTAACAGTTCACCTTAGACCCTAACCCTGGCCTTGGGATGCAGCAGAGTTATTTCATTTACCAGGTGTGAAAATCATATTTTGCCATGTGAGGATGTTTGCTCTCTCAG